AAACAGGGGTGGAGCCTCCGGGTTCAACTGTCCCCCTCTTACAATGCTGTGATTGCTAGTATCACTCAGCCCTCTGTGAACAGTAAACAGCCATCAGTGTGCTAATGATCCATTGTTAGGCTGATGGTCCTTCTTGATCATGTGATCAGCTGGTTCTGGTTGTCAGCAGCAAACTGGTTGATCCACTCTGTGAAGGTGCTATTTAAGAGACTGAGCTGAAAACAGCACCTCAGACTGAGGAAGTCTCTTAGATGAGAGACGAAACGTTTCTATATTTTTTTGCTTTGTTTTGTTTTTTGTTTTTTTGAATGTCCAGAGGACCAGATTGAACTTTTTTGGATAATAATAATATCAGGATTTAATTGGATTACTTTATTTTTAAGCTAATCTTAAATTGGGAAAAAGTTGAACTGAGTGAGTTCTTGAACCAGGAGGGATGTTCTGATGACACATAATGCACAATTATTCATATAAGTTGCTGAAAACCCACATGCAAGTTGCAGTTTGACATCTTGGACTGGTTCTGAAGTGCCCAGTAGTGTATCCCATGTGCAGGGTTGATGAAAAACTAGGCTGACAAGAACTTGTGACTTTATGAGACCACATCCTGTTCTGCTACCAAACAACAACAACAAAATCTAAGTTTGGAGCACATGGACTTGAACTGAAACAAAATGCTGATCTCTGTGGACCGGCACTTTTGTCCAGGAGGGGGGAGCTGGACTAACATCATGATGAACTCTTGAACTCTGAACTTGCAGTATCTCCAAAGACACACTGGAGAGAACCTGAAGTGGGCTGTCACTATACGTCTGGGTTTGAGTGTCGACTTTTGCATGTGATGTACGGTGGTGCGTTCACTCTGGATCCAGGATAGATGCTGCATGTTTGCTCTGACATAAATGCACCCACATAGACACACTTTTCAAACATTACAGCAAAATTTTGATTTTGAAAAGTAGTATTGTGGTCACTTGGGACACCTGCCTAGTTCAATGGCTTTTAGACAAAAAGGAGAGAGTTATAATTTTACAATCTTATATCAAAAATGAATAATGTTACCCCTGAACAAATTATTGGCTTTTCCATTGGGCTCACTTTGTCTTTACAGATTAGACTAAGGACTCAGGGACAAGAATGAAAAAGTGTTGTTTGTATTCTTTTTAGTTTAACAAATGTTGGTCTGCAATATGAGCTGGAAAATCTGAACTGTGGTTGATCTCACATTTCCTATAGAGCGCTAATTTGGAAAATAAATACATAAATAAATCATCATGTACTGGGGATGATTCGGTTCACACATAAACAGTAGTTTGGGCAAATACAAAACGGGAATCTTATTAACCAACAACCAAAACAGGAAAACTTTACTTCAATGTTTCTGAAACAGGGCACACTGGTGTACGGTTTCAGAAACATGGGGGAGGTATATAGTGATTGATGTACAGATTTTATAGATTGGCCTTGCTAGAAAATTAAAAAGAGAATAATATATTGCTAATATACAAATTTTATCAACTTCACAACAAAACATTAAGGATGCTTTTTGAGAAAATTGAAGGATGCTTCATCACCTGTGTAAATTAGAGATTTTGATAACCAAAGAATCTCACGTTTATGTGTACAGGACGGTTCTCTTAGGGGGACGCCCCTTTTTCTGAGAAGCCTTTTCTGAGACCTTTGTAGACCTTTTTTTTTTTAACCTTTTTTAGACCCAAGAGAACAATGAAAATGTGGTGGATCTATGTTTTTAGATATATTAGCT